ATTCTTTAGTCATCACAAAATATTTCTTTTGGAAAGTATAGAGGTGTCTCATAGAAGACCTGTATGCCTTTTTCATTAGCTCCAACACTAAATATATCAATCAGTTCTTAAATGGAGCTGTGAAGGTCGACCCATTAAAGATTCTTTTTGAACTTGCCGTTCTTTATCTGGAAGAAATCTAGCAAGTCATTGACTAGGAAACACATAAATTTTGATGAGTTCCTAATGATGTTAAGAAATCTTTTGCCTTAGTCATCATGAATATAGTTATCAAGAGTACCAAGCAATCCACTCATAATGTTCAATGGTGTTCTCATATCATGTGATACAGTAGCCGTTAACATTTCATAGAAGTGATTCTCTATTTTTAGTTTTTCATATTTGATGACTGGAGTTAAATTTTTTACCATTATCATGCAATGAGAAACATTTTAGAACAAAATTTAACACTATGATAAACTCACTATTTCTCCTTAGGTAGCAAGGTTACCTGAATGATTAGAGAGAAAATTCTCATCTAAGATTTAATGAGCTACTTAATAACATTCATCTTTATCTAAATCACTTGAAAGTGCTTCAAGTATTCCTACGCAATTTTAATTCAATTAATTCTATTCTCCAGTGATTAAAGGATTTTGATCCTTTTAAAATTTATATTTCTTCAGCAATTAATTCTCAATGCAATCTTTGAAATACTGTTATTAGTCATTAGTTTAAGCACTATCATGATTAACAATGTTAAAAATACGCCTGTATTCTTCATTTGCTAAAGAAACAGAGTTTGTTTCTGGATTGAACAGCAGTATTCCTTCTGGTAGCTTATCTAATAACTTCTTTAAGTCCTCATTCATCTTTTTAATGTGATGCAATTAGATAAATAATAACTTAAGCCTCTTCTCATAAAAATAGCAAGCATATATGAGAAGGCAAGTAACAGTCAATATTGATGCAATTGTAAAAAAATCAGCATAATGAATATAAAGTCCATAGAAAAGTATTATCCCGCAAGATGTAACTATCAAAGATATAGAGCTAACTATCCAACTGTAATTAAAAAGCAACCCAATTACCAAGTAGACATAAAATCCACTAATGTTACTTACTATTTATAATGGAGAAGAAATTTGCTATAAATTCAGAGTAGTTATTAGGAATGTTGGGACAATAAGCAATCCTTGGAATTTACAAAATTTTTCTGGCCATTTCCATGCTAAAAACAGCAATAGTGCTTACCATAAAATCATTAATATTCTTAGGCTCCATTAGCCTTCTGTTAACCTCTATTTAGTAAGATATGTCTGAGTAACTCCGAAAACAGTGAATAAAATTCTATTGAGCAAAGCAATCTTGCAAACGAAAATAATATCTTTATTTCTTTCTTATTGGTAGCTTCCATTTATTTGTGGATCACTAATTCTGAGTGTAAATTTCGACTCCATTCAATATGAAGATATTTTGTAAATAAAGACTTTATTTATTGAAATTTATAGTTTATCATAAATCGTTCCTATAATTCATATTGGGGTTTTGGGGTTTTGGGG